GAGGAGGAGGAGGGGGAGCAGGAGGGGACGGATGAGGACAAGGGAGGGATCAGGAGGAAGAAGGGGGATGAATGCTACAGATGTTGACGGATGAGGGGAAGACGGACGGGAAGCTGGAGGTGAAGGGGGAAGGAGGCGTGGGGGGGGAGGGCGGTGGAGGGGGAGGGTTGAAGGATGAAGAGGTGTGGGGGGGATGGAAGGGGAGGTGGGCAGCCTGTGGGCTCCTCCGGTAATCGCTTCGTCTGAGAGCGCGAGCTTGCGCCGGCTCTGGCTCGGCTCTGGAGGGTGAGGATGGACGAGGATCGTCAGAGACAAGCATAGGACAAGGAGGGGGGAGAAACCGAGGATGAGGCATTTGCGGGGAAGGAGAGGGGAGGGTCCGTGGTGAAGGGGAGGGTGCGAGGGTGACAGGGGGGGCGGGGGGGTGAGAGAGGGGAGGGGTATTAAGGAGACGGGGAAGGAGAAGGAGGAGGAAATAGAGGAGGAGGAGGAGGAGCAGGAGGAGGAGCATGATGATGATGCTGATGATGATGAAGACGATGATGCTGATGATGATGATGATGCTGATTATGATGCTGATGCTGATGACGATGATGATGCTGATGATGGTCGTGGTGGTGGTGGTGATGATACTGATGATGATGCTGATGCAGATGATGCTGATGATGATAATGCGGATGATGATACTGACGATGATGATGATGATTCTGATGATGGTGATGATGATGATGCTGATGATGCTGATGATGATGATGCTGATGCTGATGATGATGTCGATGATGATGATGATGATGATGATGATGATGATGATGATGATGTTGATGTTGTTGTTGATGATGATGATGATGATGATGATTGTGATGATGCTGATGATGATGATGATAATGATGATGCTGATCATGATCATGATGATGATGATGATGATGATGATGATGATGATGATGATGATGATGATGATGATGATGATGATGATGATGATGATGATGATGATGATGATGATGATGATGATGATGATGATGATGATGAGATGATGATGATGATGATGATGATGATGAGGAGGAGGAGGAGAGAGGAGGAGGAGGAGGAGGAGGAGGAGGAGGGAGATGGAGGAGGAGGAGGAAGAGGAGGAGGAGGAGGAGGAGGAGGAAGAGGAGAAACAGGGGGATGAGGACGAGGGATAAGTCGAGGACGAGGACGATTAGGAGAAGCAGGAAGAAGAAGAGGACGAGGAGGGCAAGGAGAGCGTGGAGGCGTTGGGTGTGGGGAGGCTCTGCGTTGCATTGGGAGGGCGAGGGCGGAGAAAATGGTGGCGGGTGCCCCCGACTCTCCAAAAAAACAGCCCTCAGGCAGTCCCCCCCCCCCCTTTCCACCCGTGTCGTCCTCCCTCCTATCTTCTCCTCCCTGCGCCTCTGTATCCCTCGGCATCCTCTTCCCTCTTCCTGTCACCTCCCTCCACATCCTCCGCCTTCCTCCTCCTCCTCTTCCTCCTCTTCCTCCTCTTCCTCCTCTTCCTCCTCACCCTTTTTTGCCCTCGCTTGAGAGGCGATTCTTTTCACATCTGGTCTGCTTCGAGCCCTATCTTTTTGTTGGCCCTGCTGGTGGCGGAAGTGGCATTGGGGTGCGACGCCCTTCGGGAGGCCGAAAATGAACCCAAGCTCCACCCAGCAGGAGCCCACTCTCCCTCCGTCGATGCTTTCGCGTCGGCCAAGGTCGAGGCCGGCGGTCGGACGGACCTTCTCGGGTACGTTGTCTCCTCCTCTTCTTCCTCCTCCTCCTCCTCCTCTTCCTCCTCCCCCCTCCTCCGTCTCATTCCCAACCATCCTGTGGTGTTGGCCCCCTCCTCCCTGCGTTTCACCCATCCAGTACAGCCTTTCGTGGCCCCGTAGGGAGCTCCACTGAAAGTCCCGCTGCTACCGCCCGCGTGCGTCCCGCAAACCCAGTACAGCGTTGCGTGGCCCTCCTCCCCCTCCTTCCAGCGTTTCACCCACCCAGTACAGCGTTTCGTGGCCCCCATAGGGAGCTTCACCGAAGGTCCCACTGCTACCGTCCGCATGCGTCCCCCCCGCCCCGTACAGCGTTTCGTGGCCCTCCTCCCCCTCCTCCCTATTCCCTGCGTTTCACTTACCCAGTGCAGCGTTTCGTGGCCCCATAGGGAGCTCCACCGGAGGTTCCAGGGTCCCACTGCTACCGTCCGCGTGCGTCCGCACACCCAGTATAGCGTTTCGTGGCCCCATACGGGGCCTCACCGAAGGTCCCGCAGCTACAGTCCGCATGCGTCCCGCACACCCAGTACAGCGTTTCGTGGCCCCATAGGGAGTCCCACCGAAGGTCCCAGTGGGACCGTCCGCGTGCGTCCCAAGGTCCCGTTCCGTCCGCGTGCGTCCCGAAAACCGAATGTGGCATTTTCACCCACCGACTACAGCGTTTCGTGGCCCCAGAGTGAGCTCCACCGAAGGCCCCAGTGCCACCGTCTGCGTGCGTCCTGGAACACCCAATTTGGCATTTCCACCCACCCAGTACAGCGTTTCGTGGCCCAATAGGGAGCTCCACCGACGGCTTCAGTGCTACCGCCCGCATGCAGTGGGACCGTCCGCGTGCGTCCCAGAAATCCAGTTTGGCACACCACCCACCCAGTACAGCGTTCCCCCCCACCCAGTGCAGCGCTTCGTGGCCCCATAGGGAGCTTCACCGAAAAAGATATTTACAATTGCGGTACCCATTGCTAGATATGGTTGGGTCATTCGCAATTTTTTTTTGGTGCGTTGCACAGAGATTGGCGGGAAGGCCGTTGTGACTTGCCCTCCGTCCCCCTTCTTTGTAGATAAGTCCTCCCTGTCGCACCTTGAGGCGTGTCGGTAGGGCGGGCCGGGCATTTCGACGGATTTTTCTTCACCGTTCGTGATACTGAAACTTGGAATTTTCAACAGTTTCACGGATGGAGGGCTGATGGTTTTCAAAATGTGCCTCTTTGCTTCGCGCCTCTCGCATTCTTGTTTAATGTTTGCAAGAGCCTAAAGGATGGAGGGCTGGTGGTTTTCAAAATGTGGCTGTCGCCTTCGCGCCGCGTACATTTTTGTGAAACTTTTGCAAGGGTTCGCAGATGGAGGGTGGCTTGTTGTCAACATGTGGCTCTCGCCTAAGCGCCGCGCGCAGTCGCTTTACAAGTTTCAAGACAAGAGTTCCACAGATGGAGGGTGGTTCCTTTTCAAAATGTGGCTCTCGCCCGAGCGCCGCGCACACTCGTCTTAGCAGTTTTCAGCCGTTTCAAGGGTTCTCATGGTTGGCGTCGAAGAACATGTGTTTTGACACGATGTAGGGTTGCATGGGCGCGACAGTGTGTTGATTTGCGGTGTTGACGCCCTAGCAGAACAAGCTCTCTAGCACGATTTAGGATTGACAGGTCGCAAGTGATTTTGATTCGGGCGTTGAAGTTCCAGGAATAATTTGGCACGGTTGAAGACTTCAAACGGTTGTATTCCAGCGGCGTTCTTCCCCAGTTTGAGTAGGTCCTTATAGGAGCCAATGAAGAGGGCATTTGGAGGGCGTGTTTATTGCAACATCGTTGATGTGTGTTGGGTTTACACTGGTCCTCCTCCTCCCTCCGCCTCCTCCTCCTCCTCCTCAACATGCCGCCCCTCCTCAGACTGCTCGGCTCGAGAAGCACCCGCCCGCAGCGACCGACGCCGCCAGCCACTCGCCGGTACAGCAGGTCCTCGAGGAGATGGCCGTCCGACGGAGCAGCTCCCGCGCACTCGCGTGCCTGATGGCGGCCGGGCGTGCCTTAATTTCGTGCGGACGGTAGGGAACATCGACCAGGACGAGGAAGATAACGAGGCGGAGGAGGAGGAGGGAGGAGGAGGAGGAAGAGCAGGAAAAGGAGGAGGAGGAAGAGGAAGAGGAGGAGGATTTGGAGGAGGAGGACTTTGGCGGTGGTGCTGGAGGGTGATGACGACGGTGGTGTGGTGTTGATGTTCATGATGCTGAGGATGAAGAAGAGGAGCACGATCATAATGAGGAGGAGAAGGAGGATGAGGAGGATTTGGAGGAGCATCATTTGCTGGTGGTGGGGTGTGTTTCCTGAGTGCCCAGATCTGGTCGGGCGACAGTAGGGGGATTCGACTCTCGAGGTTCTCGGACGTTTTCGTTAGTTCTCGGCGGCGTTCTGGCCTCGGGATGCTCTCCAGCAGCTGCGCCTCGCCGAGCGAGTTTTCTGGAATTGCCCGAATCGCTGTGAACGGCCGCCAGAGACGATGTGTGACCCGAAGACCAGATTCGAATAGGACGACCGAGAACTTCGACCAGGACGAGGACGAGGACGCGGACTGATGAGGAAAAACACTGGGCGTTGGTGGTGGAGAGTGGAGATTCTGATGACGATGATTATGATGATGATGAAGAAGAATATGATGATGATGATGATGATGATGATGATGATGATGATGATGATGATGATGATGATGATGATGATGATGATGATGATGATGATGATGATGTTGATGATGATGATGATGATGATGATGATGATGATTAGGAGGAGGAGGAATGTGATGAGGACGATGGTGATGATGCTTCTGAGGTTGTGGGTATTTATGATGATGCTGTTGATGATAATGATGCTGATGCTCAGATGCTCATGATGCTGCTGCCGCCGATGATGAAGATGATTATGATGCTGACGATCATGATTATGATGCTGATGATGATGCTGCTACTGCTGATGATAATGGTGGTGGTGGTGATGATGATTCCAATGCTGCTGATCATGATGAGAAGGATTATGACGCATGACGATGATCATGATACCGCTGCTGCTGCTGCTGCTTATGATTATGATGATGACGAATTATGATTTTTATCTTCTATTATTCTGGTTATTATGATGTTGTTTCGGTTGAGTATGCTGATGATGCTGATGCTAATGACGACGATGATGATGATGATACTGATGATGATGGTGCTGTGGAGGAGGAGGAGGAGCAGTAGGAGGAGACAGATGACGCTGATGATATGATGATGATGCTGATGCTGATAATGATGTTGATGCTGATGCGAATGATGATGCTGCTGAGGATGATGCTGATGATGCTGCTGTTGATGCTGATGATGATGATGCTTATGATGATGCTGATGCTGATGCTGATGCTGATTATGCTGATGATGCTGATGCTGATCCTGCTGATGATGATGATGCTGCTGATGATGATGCTGCTGATGATGATGTTGATGCTTCTGCTGATTATGATGATGATGAGGAAGGTGATGCTGATGATGCTGATGATGATGACGCTGATGATATTTATGGTGATGATCATGATGCTGATGCTGATACTGCTGATGCTGATGCTGCTGAGGATAATGATGCTGATGAGGATGATCATGACGCTGCTGATGTTGATGATGATGCTGCTGATGATGACGGTGATGATGATGATGATTATGATGATGACGATGATGATGATGATGAGGATGAGGATGAGGATGATGATGAGGATGATGATGAGGATGAGGGTGATACTGATGATGAGGATGAGGATGTTGATGATTATGATGATGCTGATGATGATGCTGATGATGATGATGCTGCTGATGCTGATGATGATGCTGCTGATGATGATGGTGATGATGAAGATGATTATGATGATGACGATGACGATGATGATGATGATGCTGATAATGATGACGCTTATGAGGATGAGGATGAGGATGATGATGATGAGGATGAGGGTGATGATGAGGATGATGATGCTGATGATTATGAGGATGCTGATGCTGATGATGGTGATGATGCTGATGATGATGCTGATTATGCTGATGATGGTGATGATGATGGTGATGCTGATGATGCTGATGATGATGACGGCGATGATGATGATGCTGATGATGCTGATGTTGATGATGATGCTGATGCTGATGCTGATGCTGATGATGATGATGGTGGTGGTGGTGGTGATGATGGTGATGATGATTATGATGATGATGCGGAGGAGGAGGAGGAGGAGGATGATGAGGATGATGAGGATGATGATGATGATGATGGTGGTGGTGGTGGCACTGGTGGTTGTGGTGGTGGTGATGATGATGATGATGCTGATGACGATGATGATGATGATGATGATGATGATGATGATGATGATGATGATGATGATGATGATGGCGGTGGTGGTGGCGGTGACTTGTTGGTGGTGAGATGATGATGATGATGATGGTGATGGTGATGATGATGATGATGATGGTGGTGGTGATGATGATGGTGATGATGCTAATGATGATGCTGATTATGGTGATGATGATGGCGATGCTGATGGCGATGCTGATGATGCTGATGATGATGACGGCGATGATGATGATGATGATGATGATGATGATGATGATGATGATGATGATGATGGTGATGATGATGATGATGATGATGATGATGTTGATGATGCTGCTGATGATGATGATGATGCTGATGCTGATGCTGATGCTGATGATGAGATGATGATGATGATGATGATGATGATGATGATGATGATGATGATGATGAGGATGAGGATGAGGATGAGGATGAGGATGATGATGATGATGATGATGATGATGATGCTGATGATGATGATGATGATGATGATGATGATGATGATGATGATGATGCTGATGATGATCATGAGAGGAGGAGGGAGGACGAGCGGAGGAGGAGGAAGAGGAGGAACAGGAGAGGAGGAGGAGAGAGGAGAGGAGGAGGAGAGAGGAGGAAGAGGAAGAGGAGGAGGAGTAGGGAGGAGGAGAGGGAGGGGAGAGGGGAGGAGGAGGGGAGGAGGAGGAGGAGGAGGAGGAGGAGGAGGAGGAGGAGGGAGGAACCGGAGGAGGAGGAGGACGAGGAGGAGGAGGAGGAGGAGGAGGAAGCGCAGGAGGAGGAGGACAACGACGACCAGGACCAGGACGAGGACGAGGACGATAAGAAAGGTCAGCATCAGGCGGTGGTGGGGGATGAGGATCGGAGCGGACGAACGGGGGAGGTGACTGGGAAAGGGGGGTTTGCGAAATCTGCCGCCTGCAGCCGGTTTTGCGCCTCTGGCCCCGGGAGGCGCCGCAAAACCCCTATGCGTGAGAGGATTCGCTATCGACGACGACGATGACGACGACGACGACGACGACCACGACGCCGACGACCCCCCGGGCCCCCCCGCAGGACCTTCCGTTTTTGCGATTACAACCAGGTGTTTTTCTTGATTTCCACAACGGAATTTAGTTTGTAAAGCCTCACTGTGAAGATTTATTTGAACAGCCCCAAATCAAATTCAATTCATAAATCCTCATAATCAAAATCAATGTGCAATCCATCTACAATTTGATTTTATTTGTGGGGACTTCCAGAGGCAACGTCAATCAAATCAATTTGTAATCCATTTGCGCGTTGATTTTGATCGTGTGGATCTCCAAAGGCAGCACCTGGTGGCCGCAGAAACTTACCAGTGAAACGGGAAAATCAGGAAAACCTTTTGCTTTCACTGGGAAAAATGGGAGAGACCAAGGAACACCTGTGACTGTCAGTGTTTTGATCTGTTTTACATTTAAACACGGCAACAGTGACATGTTCTCTAGTATTATTTCTATTTTTATTATTATCATTCGGATTATTATTTTTCATAGTATTATTACTATGATTCTTAATCTTGTTATTATCATTATTCATCGCATTTATATTATTAGTGTATATATCTATATCCGTGTGAGTACAACAGGTTGTTCCTGTTTTTAATGTTTTGAATGTTTTTTTTCTTTCTTGTTTTCCTCTTCAGCTGTCCTGCGCTCAAGATGCCGCAGTTGCAGATCCCCCACACGTAGAACCTTTTGTAAGGCCGCCACATAACGAATCCCTTTGTACAGGCTGCGACAAAAAAAAACATTCCCCACAGTTCCAATCCCCTTGTAAAGGTTGCCACACAAGGAATAATTGTGTACAGGCCGCTACAAAAGGATTTTACTTGCAGATCAGCTGCGCAATGAAAAAGCAGCGACAGTCACAGGTGTTCCAAGCTTCGTCATGTTTTTTATGTGAGAGCACAAGCTTTCCTGTCTCTCCTGCTTTCCTCTCTAGCTTTTCTGGGCTCACGGTGCTGCCGCTGCAGACCCTCAACACGTAATTCTTGTGCTAGGCAACCACAAAGGGAATCCCTGTGTACAGGCTGCTACATGAGGATTCTAAGTGTGGAGGCCACTGCCGATCCTCCACAATTATAATCCGTTCTAGGATCGCCGCAGAAAATAATCCTTTTTGCGCAGGCCGCTACACCAAAGGATTTTAAGTGCAGATCATCTGCACTATAAAGAAAACTCTGGTGGTCACAGGTTTTCCTAGCTCTTGATTGTTTTTGACAACGCTGGATTTTCGTGGTGTTTATTTTTTGTTTTCCATGCTTTTCCTCTGTAGCGTTGCTGGGCTCAAGGTGCTGCCACGGCAGACCCTCCAAACGTAAAACACTTTTGCAAGGCTGCCACACAAAGGAATCTCTCCGTGCAGGCTGCTATAAAGAGATTCTAAGTGTGGAGGCCACTTCACATCCTCCGCACTCAAAGTCCTTCTACATGGTCGCCACAACAGGAACCCTTTGTAAAGGCCGCTAAACATAACTTTAATTGTAGATCATCTGCGCTATACAAACAGGGGCACTCGCAGGTTTTCCTTGACTTTTCTTATTTTTCCATGTGAAAGCACATGTTCGTTGATAGTTTCGTGTTCCTGTTTTCCTCTGTAGCTTTCCTGGGCTCAAGGTGCCGCCACTGTACATCCCCCCACACATTAAACCCTTGTTGCAAGGCCGCCGCAAAACGACATCTCTTCGTACAGGCTGCGGCATAAATAGTCTAATTGTGGAGGCCACTGCAAATCCCCCACACTTTCAATCCTTGTTGTGAGGTTGCTTCAAACGAACCATTGTTTTAAGGCTTCTGCGCAATAACAAACAGCGATATCAGCCAGCGTTGACTGCAAATAGATTCGACGACTCAAGTCAAGGAATCATAGGAATCAAGCATGCTTGGAATCCGCAAATCAGCAAGCAAGCGTACAAACAAGCGTGCAGGCAAGTAAGCAAACAAGCAAGCAAGCAAGCAAACAAGCGAGCAAGCAAGCAAGCGTGCAAGCGCGCAAGTAAGGAAGCAAGCAAGCTAGCAGGCATAGGCATAGGCATAGGCATAGGAGCACTCAGAGGCGGTGCGCAGGCATACGCATGGGCGTAGGCATAGGCATAGGCGTAGGCATAGGCATAGGCATAGGCATAGGCATATGCATATGCATAGGCGTAGGCATAGGAGTTAGGGGGGAGGCATATGCATAGGCATAGGCATAGCCATATGAATTAGGGGGGGGCATAGGAATTGATTGTAGATCATCTGCATTGTAAAATCAACGATCGTCACTGGTTGTCCTAGCTGTGTCTTGTTTTCCCTTTGAAAACACAAGCCTTTTCTTATTTGTCATGTTTTTCCTGGTGCCATCTGTAGCTTTCCTGGGCTCAAGGTACCGCCACTGCAGGTACTCCAGACTTAAAACAATTTTGTAAGGCCGCCACAAAAGACTCCCTTCGTACAGGCCGCCACGTAAGAATTCTAATCGTAGAGGCCACTGTAAATCCTTTTGTAACGTTGCCGCAAAAGGGATCCTTCTGCAAAGGCGTTATAGAAAGACTTTGGGAGACAAAGGAGAAACGGGGCGATGAAGAAGAACGAGGACGATCAACATGCATGATGAGTAACCAGATGATCCATAGCGTTGCAATCGCTAGGAAATCGACTAAAGTTGCCTTGCTGTAATCATGCAAACAGCGGGTCGGACCGGGCCCCCCCTAGTACAACTGCCTCTTTTGCCTCACCCGGCGAGTGGGGCCTGATTGTGGCAGTTTCGTGCCCTGGCGACGCGGCGGCAACCCTCAGCGCGGGCTTTCGAGGTTGGGCGCTGCCAGAGGCCCAGAAGTTGGCAGATATCAGATGCACTTTGCAACTGGGAAGTCGCCATCGCTCAAGGTCAAGCTGTCTGCGAGTCGGCAGAAATCAGCGCCAGAGTAGTCACGACACGAACCTGCTGCAGTTGGGGCTGGGGGAGCGCGAGACATCGGCGATGCATCGGCGATGCGCTGCGGTCTGGAGCCCGACTTCCTCCATTCAGACGTCGCCGACGCATCGCCGACGCCTCGTCGATGCGTCGTCGGCGAAACCCGACTTCCTCCATTCGGACGTCGCCGACGCATCGCCGACGCCTCGTCGATGCGTCGGCGCTGCAGTGAGATCCTCCGACCCTCTCTGCTCCGCTCCCCTCTGGGCGGCCTCGGGTGGCGCTCCTCTTCTCTCGGCTTCGACGCTCGCAGCCTGGAGGGCCTCGATGTCCGCAGGCAGGCGCTCCGCCAGGCATGGGTCCAGTGACGATCACTATGCTTCTGCCAACTTGACTTGCAGATGCACGGCTTCTGGCACGACCTCGCAGGGGATGACCTGGCTTACAGATGCACGGCTTCTGCTTCTGGCACGACCTGGCTTACAGATGCACGGCTTCTGGCTTACAGATGCACGGGTTCTGCCAACCTGGTTTACAGATGCACGGCTTCTGGCTTGCTGCGCGCACGAGTTCGATCGGATCCCCTGCCTCCGTTCCGTTGAAATGCCGCCAGTGGCCCAGAATCGGCCAATATGGAACGATCCCGCGATCGGAAAACCGTCAGTCGTTCTAGGTCGAGCGATCCACGTGGTGTCATTGACCAGTGCTGAGGTCGACACGACACGAACCTGCCACAGTGTTCCCCCTGGGCAGGGCCCGTATCGATCCGATCGATCCGATTTGACGATTAGATTTCGATGCTCCGACGATTCGATGCGGCCCGATGTGTCACATTCCGATTCGATCCGATTCTCCGATTCGATGCTGATCTATCCTGCCCTGGGCGTTCCGCCCGGACATCCGATGTCTTGATTTTTTCAATGCGGGATCCCCAGAAGTCCTGACCCTTGCCCTGGGGCCGGTTCTTCATCCCGGGTCGTTTTTCATCGGTCATGGGGCCCAGCGAGGGCCCCAGGAGGCCGAAAACTACCATTAGCCTGGCGACGGACCCAACCATAAGCAGTGATACGTACCGCAGTTGTGAGTACCATCTTCGGCGGATCCTCCTATGCGGCCGCGAAACGTTTGAGGGATGTACCAAAGTGGCCCATCGGCGGCAGGCGGCTTTTTTCACTGGGGCTTTCGGTATAGCTCCCCATGGGACCACGAAATGTGCGAGGGGTGTGCAGAAATGGGGCGGCACCGACATGCGGACCCTGCCGCTGCCTTCGGTGGTGCCGCCTCAATTCACGAAACGTGTGATGGGTGCGCAAAGATGTGGGATGGAACCGCATGCGGGCGCTGCCATTGGGGCCTCTAGTGGAGCACCATGTGGGGCCACAGAACGCGTGAGGGGTTCGCCGAAATGGGGGGGGTGGAACCGCATGCGAACGCAGCCACCGGTGGAGCTCCCTATGGGGCGCCACGAAACGTGTGACGGGTGTGTCGATCTGATGAGGTGGCGGCATGCGGGCCCTGGCACTGGCGCCTTCGGTGGAGCTCCCTATGGGTCCACGAAACGTGTGACGGGTGTGCCGATCTGATGAGGTGGCGGCATGCGGGCCCTGGCACTGGCGCCTTCGGTGGAGCTCCCTATGGGTCCACGAAACGTGTGACGGGTGTGCCGATCTGATGAGGTGGCGGCATGCGGGCCCTGGCACTGGCGCCTTCGGTGGAGCTCCCTATGGGTCCACGAAACGTGTGACGGGTGTGCCGATCTGATGAGGTGGCGGCATGCGGGCCCTGGCACTGGCGCCTTCGGTGGAGCTCCCTATGGGTCCACGAAACGTGTGACGGGTGTGCCGATCTGATGAGGTGGCGGCATGCGGGCCCTGGCACTGGCGCCTTCGGTGGAGCTCCCTATGGGTCCACGAAACGTGTGAGGGGTGTGCCGAAATGGCGAGGTGGTGGCATGCGGGCCTGGCACTGGGGCCTTCGGTGGAGCTCCCTATGGGCCACGAAACGTGTGATGGGTGTGCCGAAATGGCGAGGTGGCGGCATGCGGGCCCTGGCACTGGCGCCTTCGGTGGAGCTCCCTATGGGTCCACGAAACGTGTGAGGGTGTGCCGATGGTGGCGGCATGCGGGCCCTGGCACTGGGGCCTTCGGTGGAGCTCCCTATGGGTCCACGAAACGTGTGAGGGGTGTGCCGAAATGGCGAGGTGGCGGCATGCGGGCCTGGCACTGGGGCCTTCGGTGGAGCTCCCTATGGGCCACGAAACGTGTGAGGGGTGTGCCGAAATGGCGAGGTGGCGGCATGCGGGCCCTGGCACTGGGGCCTTCGGTGGAGCTCCCTATGGGTCCACGAAACGTGTGAGGGGTGTGCCGAAATGGCGAGGTGGCGGCATGCGGGCCCTGGCACTGGCGCCTTCGGTGGAGCTCCCTATGGGTCCACGAAACGTGTTGTGGAAATGGCCGGGCGTGGCAGCATGCGGGCCCTGGCACTGGCGCCTTCGGTGGAGCTCCCTATGGGTCCACGAAACGTGTGAGGGGTGTGCCGAAATGGCGAGGTGGTGGCATGCGGGTCCTGGCACTGGGGCCTTCGGTGGAGCTCCCTAGGTGGCCACGAAACGTGTGATGGGTGTGCCGAAATGGCGAGGTGGCGGCATGCGGGCCCTGGCACTGGCGCCTTCGGTGGAGCTCAATATGGGTCCACGAAACGTGTGATGGGTGTGCCGAAATGGCGAGGTGGCGGCATGCGGGCCCTGTCACTGGGGCCTTTTGTGGAGCTCCCTATGGGGCTACGAAACGTGTGAGGGGTGTGCCGAAACGGCGAGGTGGCAGCATGCGGGCCCTGGCACTAGCGCCTTCGGTGGAGCTCCCTATGGGGCCACGAAGCGTGTACTGGGTGTGCCGAAACAGAGACATGCGGAGGGCAGAGGCAAGGAGGGGGAGGAGGGAGGAGGGGAGGAGGAAGGAAGAAGGAGAACGCGGTGCGCGGTCTCTTCAAGACGGGGGCCCCGCACCACAGGTACGGAAAAAGCAGGGTGAGTTTTTCCGTCCGGGTTGTTGTTCAACGGTCCCAGGGGCCCAGCCAGGCGCCTCAGAGGCCGGAGGCAGCTTGAAGCGGCGTCGTGACATTCTTACGACGCGAGCACTTGTGGGTCCGCATCTGTCGCAGGGACGCCAAGCCGAGCGCACCCGGAGGCGGGGGAGCGTCGTCGTGCCAGGTGGCGGCCGCTGCCTGCTGGATCTGCGCCCCGGCTTTTCTCCCAGTCGCGGACGGCCGCCGCGCGGTGCTCGTTGTCGCCCTCGTCGTCGCCGCCGCCGCCGCAGCCGTCGCTGCCTTCGTCGCCGCCTCGCCGTCCGCATCGGCATCGTCCTCGTCGTCCTCGTCGTCGTCGTCGTCGTCGTCGTCGTTGTCGTCGTTGTCGTTGTCGTCGTCGCTATCGCCGTCGTCGTTGTCGTAGTCGCCATCGTTGTCGCCGTCGTCACCTCGATCGTCGCCCTCGTCGTCGCCGTCGGCGCTGCCGTGGCCGTCGCCGTCGCCGCCGCGTCGTCGTCGTCGTCGTCGTCGTCGTCGTCGTCGTCGCGTTGCCGCCGTCGCCATCTCGGTCGTCGTCGTCGTCGTCGTCGTCGTCGTCGTCGTCGTCGCCGCCTGCGCCTCCTCCGCCGTCGTTGTCGCCGTCTCCGTCGTCGTCGGGGAGAAGGGTACCATGATGCACCCACCCCAAGTCCCTCCTCATGAGCGAGCGGATTTTTGGTATCGGTCGTGTGGCCTCGGTCGTCGCTGCAGCCGCGCCGCCGCCGCCGCCGTGGTCATCGTCGTCATCGTCGTCGTCGTCATCGTCGTCGTCGTCGTCGTTGTCATCGTCGTCGTCGTCGTCGCCGTCGTAGTCGTTGTTGTCGTCATCGTTGTCGTCGTCGTGTCGTCGTCGTCGTTGCCGTGGTCGTCGTCGTCGTCGTCGTCGTCGTCGTCGTCGTCGTCGTCGTGGTTGTCGTGATCGTCGTCGTCGTTGTTGTCGACGTCGTTGTTACCGTCGTCGTCATCGTCGTCGGAGAGGAGGGTGAGGAGTAGGTTGTGGGGGGTGGTTCTGGTGCCAGAAGAAGGACTGCCAGAGTGGCAACCATGACGCACGACTGATTCTGCAAGCCGCCCGCGCGCCCCAAGCCCTCCTCATGAGTGAGCTCAAGTTTTCTTACAAATCGTTGGTGGTTACCCTCTGAAGATGCGAGTGCCCTTTGGTCCCGCATGCTCAGAGCCCCACGTGTTTTGCTGCGCGCTCCGGCGATGATACTAAGACTGGGACCTGATCGCGTTTTTGCTGGTCACGCGCAACGAGTGATAAGAGGGGATCCGCTTGTACTCGTGCGGTGGCATTCAGTGGGGGAGCGCATCAAGAAACCATCTGCTCTTCGTCAGGGCGCCCTGGGCTTCTTCGCTCCGCGCGCTGCGCGGTGACTTCCCGCAGCCGTTGGAGAAGCCGCTGCGTCCAGGCTGCTCCGTTTCCCCCCGGGTGCACCTCGCGCGCGGGTTTTCAGGGTTGGGTTTCTCGCGAGGGTCTCTTGCGGCCGCGCCCGCACTGCAGGCTCTGCGAGCAGCGTCCACGGCGCCAGCGTGGGAGCGCGATCCTGAACGGGTGCCGCCTCCATCCCACAGCTGCTGGGAATTTCGGGCCCCAGGACCGCTGGACGTGAGGGTGTTTCGGGTGCGAGCTCTAGCCTCATCATGGCCCCAGGCCCGCTCTGACCCGCGTGGCTATGCGCTCCGACGGAAAGCATCGGCGTGAAAAAATTCGATGCTTCGCAGCGTGATGTGGCGGCAAGAGGACGAAATAGTGGCGCGTACGCCGAGAGTGTGGCTCTCATGGCTAGTCCAGGACCATCCCTGCACAGAAGAAGCAGAAGTTCGGATAGGCGACGGTCTATAGCCCATGACCGATGAACAGGGGGGCGCCAGAATCTCCGACAGAGACCAGCGCGACCCGTGCAAGTCTGGCGGCCGGTGCGGCCCGAATATGTTTCTCCGAGAAGTCCCGCCGCCGTATAATGAGAAAACCATGCACCGACATGTGTATGCGCCACGCTGGTCCGGGGCTGCCCAGCGGAAGGGGACGAGGAGGGGAGAAGCGAATGATGGATTGATATTGCAGACTATCTTGACGAACGGGGATGAACCAGGCCTAGGAGTATGGTGCAATTCGTGGCGCGCTGGCCCCGATGGCTGGTTTTGAGACGACGATCCGCGCACGAATCGGGGCATCAGATGGATACTTCAATCCGGATGAAATTTTCGCGAAGGACACAACTTATGACGTGTTCCGTAAACGAGTGGATTCCATGCTGCGGGATAACTACGATGAGGCGTGGAAAGGAAGGGGCGCCTTAGAGGCGGCATCTCTTTTGGATCCGAGCAGTGCAGAATCTGGTCGGAAGGAGCTGAGTGACACCGATGATAATCAATCCGTTGACGGTGTCTTTGACACTCTTGGGAAGAGATGGGTGCTCAGTGATGATGAGAAATCGAAGGGCGCCCTTGCGCTGATGGAATGTGACATCGCACAGTATGGCGTAAGGCTTACAGCTGCAGCGACCCTGATGATGTGGGAACATGCTGAGGCTGACGACCCCTGGTGTGTGTGTATAGGTTAACGACCAAAGAGTCGAACCTACAATATTTCCCGTAGGCAGAGTTAGGAAATGAAGAGGGTCGCGAATCCTTTTTCAGGGCGCTGCAATGGAGGCAGCGCGATATGTTGTACCAATACCTGAGCCGAGACATCAGCGGTAGATAAGGATGTAATGGTGATATGAGCGGACTTCACACACACCCCGTCCCGAATCCCGCCCGCTCCACGCTGCCTTCGGGCCCACGGGAGACGAAGGCGGGGCTCGGGAACAGAGGTGTGAGGTCCACGCAAAACACCGTCATATCCACCGCGCCTCCAGACGAGGCCGACTCGGCTAGGAAGGAGAGGAAAGGGAACCAACCCCGCCACGCAGGGAACTTAGGGGAATCTACCCGCCTTCAGGGTGCGCCCCACAAAAACGCTTCGGCACACCTGGACGACTCCCCGTCACCACGGGTGACGAGAAGGAAACCAAGAGAAAGTGAAGCAAGTGGAAAAACAGTGCCGCGTCAAAGAACGCGGGTGTTTCCACTGGCGCGCAGAAATACGTGCGCAAATCAATTGCAATGTAAAGATGTGATCAGAGTTGTGACGACAATTCGAGCAAGTAAAAGAATGTGTTACTTACGGGGCTCTCCAGGCCCAAGTTCACTCACAGGGCTCTCCATGCCCGAATTCAATCGATATTCAGATCGAAGTTGTTGTGACAACTGATCAAATAGGTACGGTAAAACGTATGACGTGAGGCACTTCAGGCCTCAAGAACTCAAACATGTACGGTCATCGAGACAACGTAAGTGTGTGACAATCTTGTCAAAATAAAAATCATGGGAATCATGCTTCGCATAGATCGTACTCTGTATTCCGACTTCCCATGAAACGGAAATAATATAGTGTAGAAGAAGATAATATTGATGGCGGGCGACCTGCCAGGGTGCTTTTATGTTCAGACTGCCATAAGATAGTGAACAATATAATGCCATCATAGCTACAGTCTGACACATGGAGATATGTAATGTCGAATAAGTATTGTCAAAATACAGTATGAACATCAAGGAGACAAGTACACGAGAAGATAATCATGAAAGTCCAATCAACGGAACCTTTGGAAGTCGTAGTATTAGTTACCCCAGACACGATAACCATGGCATCTACCCAGCCAGTCGTACGTGTACTGTTCTGGTTGATCCAAACGTACTCGCAGTCATTCTCGCCAACGTAGATCCAGTAGAAGTGCGTATCGTTGCTGTAGTGCTCCATGTGGTCGCGCCACCATGCCTCAGTGCGGCGCTTTCGCGCGGCGCTGCGGCTGCGCTCTGGACGGGGCGGTGCAGCGTTGCTGGGTGTGGCCTGCACCTGCGGCCTCCGCCGCTGTTGTGTCTGCGGCCTCCTGGTGCCCGGTGCAATCGGGGTAGCCAGGGCAGCGGCGCCAACGGTCCAGCCAGCGCCAGGGGCAGGGCCGCCAGAGGATGCCGCGCCCATAGAAGGCTCATCGCGGCGCGGAGGTGGAGGTGCAGGAGGTGGGGTGGGGTGCGGGTCGGCGACAGAGGCAAACCCTTTGCTCCCCTCGCCCTTCTGGGCATCCCCCTTTGGGGTCTCCGCCCGGAGCTCTGCGAGAGTAGCGCGGTTCACGGGGCCTGATTATTTCGTTGGCGTATGGATAATGCAAATTGCCCTCGACATTTACCGGATCCACTGCGGCGCTTGCCAACCGACACTTTCTTGCCGAAGGCGATCCAGGCTCGAGCCATCTTTGATGCCGCTTCTCGGCTTTTGCGGCGAGCTTGCGGAGGTAGTCTTTCCCTTTCGCAACGTCAGAACGCAGGCCCATGAATCTGATGGGGACATCATCGCGCACGATGCGGAGCACAACCTCTTTGTTCAGGTTGGCGCGTATCCAAGCGTTGACGCCGGCGATGAGTTCAATCTGAGCCTCCCCGACATCGCCACGGGTGAGGGACGCCGCGCACATTTTGCAAGGGCGTTCGTGCTAGTTGTCGGGGAGGTCACGGTAGCAGCGGTTGCAGTGCCGCCTTTTCGTCTGAATATCATTGGCACCATCCTGGACGAGAAACTCAGTGCGGTTGTGGGTGTTTCCGCCGGCGCTCAAAAATCGACCGTGATCACGAAGAGCCCGATCGTTGATCGAATGAGCGCTATCGGTGACAAGATCGTTCGACAGAGATTCCAATCCTTTGTCTGTCATCTGGTTGGAAAGATCACCTTCCGATGCATTCTCGCGAGACTTGTGTGCTGAGGCCGTGCCAGGGTGCTCGGGGATGATCTGCTTGGCCTTTTAATGGGCGCGGATTTTTTCAGCCTTTTCGTAATTTTCCAGGTGGTCGTCGGAGTCGGTCCGAAGGACCTCGACTATCTGTTCATGAGTGGGGGCAGCGGCAGAAGCAGCACTGCCCGTGCCAGGAGCAGGACTCAGGGTCCCAGAGGGGTGCGGAGTATTATCGGCGTCAGCTTTGGAGGCGCGAGATTCGAGGCGGAGTGTGGCGGCAGTGTCCACGTCAATCGAATTGCCCATGGGGAAATCAGGTTGCAAGTGTCCTTGGAGTGTCTCATCGGTTGCCACTGTGTCTTCCCAGAGCTTTTGTAAGGTAAGAAGTCCTGGATGCTTGCGATGGATGTCATCATTGGACGTCTCGACCAAGCGTTCT